ACATGAGCTAGTCGATTCATTACCCAAGGTTGACAAAGAACAGATATCAAGTAAACATGGCACAAGCGAGCAGATAGGTAATACCCGGATCCCATGTAATTAGCAAAACATGCATATTTATTTGTAAACGGTAAAACATTTATAAATTGGGATCAACATGCTCAAGGGGAATGTGTGACTTGCCTTGCTTCTTCACTTGGATCTTCTGAACTCTTATCCTTGCGAATGCGATCTTCCGAAACGACGGGAACTACACGCTGGCACGCAAAACGAGGAAAAACTCTAATAAAGACCAAGAAAACAGTACATAAAAAGTAAACAAACATGTAGAGCTCAATTTTAGATGAATTTTGCAAGTTGAACGGCTCAATTCGGAGTTCGAATGAATTAGATATGAATTTTAGAAGTTTTGAGCCATTTAAATGAATTTCTATAATTATTCACGAATTATTGCGCAATTATTATTTATTTTCTCAAAGGAAAAGGCTGTGCTGACGTCAGCAAAGGAGATGGGCGGCGCCGGCAAGCGGGCCCCACCGGTCAGCGGCACAAGGGCGCCGGTCCACCGTGGACCGGGACCACCGAGGCGGTCCACCACCGGTCCACGGGAACCGACGGTCCGGATCGGCCCAAGCCGATCGGGCGGCCAGGGGCGGCGCGGCTGGGGCACAGCACGGCACAAAGCCGGCTGGCCAAACGACGGCGCGCGGCGGCGCGGCCACCCGCGGCGACGGCCGGCGACAGCTCCCGCGGGCGAAAGCGGCGCACGCGCGAGCAGCGGCGCGGCGCGGCAAGGGGGAGGCGGCAACCGGCTGCCCGGCACCACCGGCAACGGCGCGGGCACGGAGCGCGGAGCGCGGCGGCGGCAGCGCGTCGCGAGGACGCCCGGGAGGCGGCCGACGAAGGGGAGGAAAAGGGAGAGGGAGGGGAGTGCTCACCGAGATGCACGACGGCGAAGGGGCGGCCGACGGCAAGGAACGGTGGCGGCGGGGCTCCTCAGGAAGACGATGTGACAGAGCTCCGGCGACGGGCGTCGCTCAGGATGGGGCGGATGGGCTCGGCCTCGATCTGAGGAAGATAAAGGAGGGGTTAGAGAGGAGAGGACTGGTGCGTGGTGACCGGTAACGACGGCCGACCGCGACAATATGAGAAGGATCTCACCGGCGACCGAGGAAGGAGGAGCTCCGACGGATTTCCGGCGAAGAGGGGCGGCGGCCGAGGTCCTCCTCGTCCTTGCGGAGCTGAGGGAGGCAACGGCGCGGGTCGGCGTCGACCGAAGCGGCGGCGCGACGCGGCTGGAGTCGGCGGCGGTGGCGGAGAGAGGTGGTTCGCGTGGCTACGGCGCTACGGAGGTGGAGAGGGGAAATGGAGCGGTGGCCGAGCTTGCCCGGGCGGCGGCAAAGCTGGCGGTGGCGGCGGAGCAGTGCGGCGGCGACCCTAGCGACGGGAAACGGCGGCCGGAGTTCGCCGGAGTGTGGCGGCGCGCGGGAGCGGCGTGGGGAGCTCGAGAGAGCGCGCGGGAGGGGGCAATGAGTTGGGGGAAACGGATGAGGGGAGGTCGGGGTGCATTTTTATAGGCCCCGGAGGGGGAGATCGTGGCCGTGGCGGGCGGCAACGGCCGGCGGATGGAGCTTCGACGACGTGGGCGAGTGGGGCTCGAACGGCGCCGATTTTTTGGGGGGGGAAATGGGGGAGAAAGTGGAGGAAGGGGAGGACGTGGGGTGGACCACGTCTGCACGCGCGCGGGAGCGTGGAGGCGCGCGGAGGAAGCAGCGTCGTGGGGTGGCTCAGGCGGCCATGGCGGCAGTTGGAGCTGGAGGAAAGGGATGACAGGTGGGGTCCACGGGTCCCACCTGTCGGAGAGAGAGGGAGGGAGAGGCCGGCTGGGGAGGCAGAACGGACTTGAGGGAGAGAGAGAGCCGAGCGGGCCGAGGGAGGAGGCCGGCCCGAGAGGGAGAGAAAGGGGGCGCGCGGGTCGCAGGAGAGAAAGGAGGGATTGGGCCGAAAGGGGCCCAAAGAGAGGAAGGAGGATTTTATTTGTTTTCTTTTTATTTTAATTGATGCAATGATCTTTGTGCTATTAAAACTATTTCTCGAGCTCCGAAAATTCACGGAAAATTCCGGAGAGTACATTAGGGCACAAAGAATATTACAAAATATTCCCGGCCAATAATTTTTAAAGGAAATTTTTAATTCCCTCAATAATTCACTTGATTAAGTTGATTTAACTTTTATTTAATTTCCAGAAAATGTATTATTAATTGATTTTTATTCCCGAACGAAAATCGGGGCGTTACAAGTAGGAGGACATGGTGTGGTGGTGCGAGGAGCGGCGGTGACACATGAAGGACACGGTGGCGTCGCGGTAGCAGCTCGCCTCGGCCCACGCCGACTAACTCCGTGTCCCACCACACTGCGCCAGTGCTCCTCACCACAACCACCTAGCCTCCTCTGTTTTCCTCGCTCCCGTCACCGACGCCGCTGCTCTCCAAGCACCACCCGGCGCTGCCGCCGCCACCGCCCCATAGTCACAATAGCAGCAGCAGCAGCAGCCTCGTCACATAGCGGTGAGGGCTCCCCGCGGCGGGCCGTGTTGCCTCAAGGTGCCTCACATCCTGTCCGACTCCAGCATTGCTCGCCCAACACGGTTGTCGTTCCGGAAGCTAGTGGTCTAGACACCGTCGGCAGCGGCATCGTGGAACTGGGAGAAAAGGGGAAATAAGAAGGAAGAAGAAAATGACAAGTGGGGTTAGGGCATTTTTGACTTTTCACGCTATTTATCTCTCATATTCACCTGAAAATTAATAATTTAATGGGCGTAATGTCTACTAGCAAATAACCACGTTTAGATAGTGTTTTTCCCCAAAAGTGAATTCGTGCGGTGTCCGACTGGTAAAATCACAAAGTCTTGATGTCCTGTAGCAAAGTTTGCCTAATTTTTATGTTTTTAGTTTCATCATGAGAAATACTTTCATAACATATATAATCTACACGTTGTTAAACTATACGAACTTTTATATCGATGATTAAAGATAAAAATGTTTTAACTTATAATAAAACTAAAATGACAATTAATTTAAAACTGAGGGAGTAAAGGTAGAAGTAGCTCGGACGTCCTTGTCGAGCCCAACGTACCCCAATAGTAACCGGACAACGGCGCTGTGCGTCCGTGAGGGTTGATTGGCCACGAGCCAAGGACGGAACGGAACGGAATGGAAGAAATATGTTCCCTTTGCTTGAACCCAAAGTGTCACAGCGCTATACAATTCATCCCATCCGTACACATTTTGCTGCCCTGCCACACGTGTGCGTCGTAGGATTACGTACTTGTACCACCAAAAAGTTGGTTGGCCAGAAGAAAAAATTTTTGCACATGAATCCTCTCAAAAGAATACAAATATATTAATGGCCGATCGATGGCCCGGCGTCCTTGGTAGTCGTCGAATACGCGATGAAATTTTGGTATTATTGTAGGTGTTACTAATAAGACACATTTCCTCTATGATGCAGGCCTGGTTTAGTTTCCAAATTTTTTTCTCAAAAACATCACATCAAATACTTGGACACATGAATAGAGCATTAAATATAAATTAAAAAACTAATTGCACAGTTAAGGGGGAAATCGCGAGACGAATCTTTTGAGCCTAATTAGTCCATGATTAGCCATAAGTGCTACAGTAACCCATATGTGCTAATGATTGATTAATTAGGCTCAAAAGATTCATCCTGCGGTTTCCAGGCGAGTTATGAAATTAGTTTTTTCATTCGTGTCCGAAAAACCCTTCAGACATCCGGTCAAACATCCAATGTGATAGCCAAAAAATTTCTTTTCGCGAACTAAACAGGCCCATAATATGATTTGTCTGGTCTCTAAAATGTTTTTAAAATGTCACTAAATATAAGACTAAGTACAATAGCAAACTATAAGCTAGCTATAAATATATGTGGAGGGGATAAAACAAAGAGAGAAGAGAAATGAACTATGGATCTTAGCACGTTATGTGTATAAGAGGTGGGACTAGTTATTAATGATGTAACATATATTTATAAGTAACTACTGTAAAAATAGATTATTAGATTACTATAAATGATTTGACTTTTGAAAAAAAAGTAGTTGATTATAATATTAAACTTGCTCTATAGCTCTGTAGTTAGTGGGACTGTTTCTAAAATAGAAATGGTTGACCGGGGGACAAGCGCTACTGATGTAGTGATGTGCCCCTGACTTATAGGGAATTGTTAATGATCTCAAGTCTTAAAACCTCTATCTCCTCTATTTACAGCCTCATCGCTAGGCTTAGTGAGAAATAAAAAAAAAAGCATACTTGTAAACGATAATTTATGAATAAAACTTTTATATACGTGTTCTTATGATTTAAAAGTAAATGATTTAAAAGTAAATGATAGAAAATAAACTACGATGAAAATTCTCAAAATCAACTCTAAATTTAAGGTAAAAAATTTAAATTTTGGCTGATAAGGATAAATATAAATGAAAAAAAAGACGTTAAATATGTGTTAGATATTGTGCTTGTGAATGTGTAAGTGTAGTGTGTGTATACTGTATAGATGGTGCATGTACCAATGGATCATCCACGTAATCGAAAGAAATGGCTTCATGGATCTTATAAACTGGAGTACATAGCAGGAGAGAGGATAGCACGGATCAACTATGCTTGTGTTGATGTCGCCATATGAACTTCCAGATCAAACCACCATGCATGCTGGTTTAAATAGTTGAAACTTGTCTTTCAAAGAAATGAATGAAACTGAGAGATGGCCCACTCTTCAAAATTATTTAGCAGGTTAATTAGGCAAAATAATGCATATTTTTCTAGAGAGGAAATAATGCATGTTCTCACCTAATATTTTTCTTTTCTGTGTGTTTAGTGGGAAAGCTACAGAATCAAATGCCTTTGGTTTCGGAAACATATGTTATACTCAAATATATTTGGCTGATACCAAATCATGTAAAATACATCCACATCAATCCAATTATATGTTACATAGTTTGTTTTTTTTTTCATAATGGAACATTGCAGCAATTTTTCACTTGTGTTAAATATAGTACCATATATACAACTCTCCTAACTTGATAATTTTGGCATAAGAGAACTCATGCCAAGAAACAGAGGTAGCTACCCAGTCCTAATAGCAGCAACTACTACTAAACATATTTTATACTATAATTAATACACATCAACTACATAATCATCATCACCACCAAAAGAATTAAGATTAATTTAAGTTAAAATTAATGTAAACACATATCAACATCATCACCAGCAACTCTGTTCAGCAACAACCACACACCTCGCATCGTCGTCGATGGCGTCGTCGTCGTCGTCATCATCGCATCGCGGCCGTCCGTTGCTCCACGTCAGCATCAGCGCCGCCGCGGCCTCCTCCGTCAGGGACTCCAGCACGGCGGCGGCGAGCTCGGCGCCGACGCGCCGCCGCGCGTCGCCGACGGGGCACACGCTCCACCCGGCCGCCATCTCGGCGGCGATGAGGCCGTGCACCTTGGCGATCTCCGCCTCGAGCTTCTCCTCCTCCTCCCAGTAGCGTGAGGCGGCGGCGGAGGAGGAGGAGGAGGAGGAGGAGCTCGTCGACGGCGAGCTTGCTGTGTGGTTGTTGACGGGGTGGTCGGGTAATGCCGGCGTGTAGGCCGCCGCCAGGAGCTCCCTGAAGATGACTATGGCCTCTGCGATGGACGAAGTACGTGGAGCGAGTGAGCTCTGAGCTATCCACGTGGCGGCAGCAATGGCGCCGCCGCGCCGGAGACGAAGGAGACGCGAGGTGAGTGTACACGTTTGCTTACTTTTCGAGTAGGCAGGCGACGCTGGCGGCTGGAACGGGCTCTGCTCCAGCACGGAGACGGGGCTCAGCTGCTTCTCCTCCTCCTCCTCCTCCTCGTCTTCCATGTCGTCCTCGCCGATGGCCGCCGCCGCAGCCGGCTGCTGCTGCTGCTGCCGCTTCCCGCCAACCTTCTTGGCCGCCGCGGCGCCACGCGGTAGAAACTTGGAGAGGATGACGCTGAGAAGCGCGCTCGCCGGTCGCCGTCGCCGCCGCCTCATCGCCCGCGCGGCGGCCGGCCAGCAGGCGGCGTCGAGGAGGGCGGGGGAGCAGCCCTTGTCGAGGAGAAAGAGGTGGAGGGAAAAGGGCTCCTGCTGCTCCTCCAGCAGCTCTGAAAGGCGGCGGGCGCCGCCGCCATCACTGCTGCTGCTGCTTCCCGACGCCGGCGACGGCGAGAGGAGGGTCGCCATGGGGGGTCGGACCGTCGGAGAGAGGAGGTAGGTGGACGGCGCCGGATGGATGAATGGAGGCTTATAAAGGTGGGGGAAAGAAGATTGAAAATCTGAGACTCTGAAATGTCTACTTTGGTTACCAAACTATATATCTCCTTTTGTCATGAAAATATACTTTAAGCTACTGAACTTTTTTAAAAATATGACTATATTTATAACCCTATAAAATTATGAAAAAAAGTTCAAATTACCAACCCAAACTAATGTGACAGTACGAATTACCTCATCAATTCAAAATTAGACATTCTTCACCCTCAATTTTTCATACCGGACAAATTGTCCCCTTAGCTAATTCCGAAGCGGTTTTGGTTTTACGTGGCATAAGTCAACATAAGAAAATAAGTAGTGTGGCCCACTTATCAATTCTGCCTCTTCTCTCGGTCACCACATTTGGGCCCTTAACTTTTTTTTATATATTTTCTTATGTTGTATGAATTGCCACATGTGCATCACTTAGGATTAAAACCGCTCTGGAGTCTATCAAATGAGTAATTTGTCTGGTATAAAAAGTTAAGAGTGAAAAATATCTGGTTTTTGAATTAAGGAGGGTAATTCATATTGCCACAATAGTTCAGTGGGTATTTCGGACGTTTTCTCAAATTATTATAAAAATGATTTATAGATACATCATCCTTTCACAACTTAGATCACTAATACATTTAGAAAAGAAAAGTTAAGATTTCATTTGTAAAAATTATATTAGTAGATTTATCATGGATATGTGGCTAGTAATAATAAAATGGGTATTGCTATGTTTCAGAGGTGCAATTTTAGCCACCTAAAAATTACACTTTCCTACGCCTAAAATTGCAGAAGTATGCAATGTGCAATTTTACTTCTTTTTAGCTTTATTTTTCCTGTTCTATATGGTTTTGCTTTACTTTTAGCTAAGTTTGAATATTGTGTGCATGTACTTGTGTAATATGAATTGTAATTTCTTTTTTTTAGTTATGTGTTTTTTGAAAAATTTTGCAGGTTAGAATAATTTATTGCTAAACTTTCTATGTAAGAAAAAGGGAGGAGTGATGGAAACCAGTGGACTGTTACCACAGGGATAAGAAAACCGACTAAAATTTTTGAAAATCACAGTCACGACACTTCTTAGTAAAATATATATATTAATGTACTAAGACTATGGCAATATCCTAAACGATAAGTAAATCTCTACTACTTAAAAAATAAAAAATAAGATGCTTCCTTCGTCCGTCAAAAACAAAAAAAATAGCAGAAAAATAAAAAAAAGGTCTCTACTACTTAAAAAATAAGATATGCTTCCTTCGTCCGTCAAAAACAAAAAAAATAGCGAAAAAATAATAAAAAAAAAAGGTCCGACTCCTATTCCTCTGGTCCGACTCCTATTCCTATCAGAAACCAAAAAAAAAAATCCGGCTCTATCCGATTCCCCCTTATAAAAAGGAAAAATAAAAGTCACCACTCCTCTCGGTTTGAGTCTGAGATCACAGGCACCCTCCTTTCTATACCATGATATCTCATACATCTTGGTGAAAAAAATTGATGTGCCGAATTAAAGATCTGTTTGCAAAAATAGAACCTACAGGTCGAGAGCATTCCATTTTTATATGATTTTAATTTTTGGATTTGTACTTTTGCATTCGAGTCCCTGTAATTTTTATATTTACATTTGAGTTCCTATAATCTTGCAAAAAAATGAAAAGGGCGAAATAAAGTCCGATTTCTAATCAGTATATATCTCTTCTCTATCTCTAATCTAATCTAACAATTTAAAAATAGAAAATGCACGAGAAAATAAAAATTGTTCAAATAAAACGCGTGAGAAAAAAGTTAGAAAAAAGCGCAAAAAACACGCTAAAAAGGTTTTACATCTTCCATAAAACAAAAAAAAAGCGCGAGAAAAATTATTTCCATCGCTGGTAAAAAAATTTTAAAAAAACATGCGAGGAAAAAACTGTAAAAAAATGCGCTATTTCTAAAAAAAATGGTTTGAAAAAACCACGCAAGGAAAAAAACACCATCTATTAAAAAACAAATCGCTCTGACAAAACTGTCAGAAAAAACACTAAATTGATGGACGCTTGAGTCGGATAGAATCCATCGATTTTTTGCCATCTACTACACGGCTTTTATTTCATCACATATTCTCCTGTATTGGAAAAAAGCAAAAAAAGAACATTTGAAAAAAAAGGAAAAAATGCGCGAGAAAATTATTGTTAGAAAAAACATGCAAAAAACACACGAGAAAATAAAAGCAAAAAAGGGAGAAAAATATGGTTTTCATCGTCAGTAAAAAAAGCAAAAAAAAAACATGCTAGGAAAAAACTATTAGAAAGAAATGCGCCATTTCTGAAAAATAGTTTGAGAAAATCGCGCAAGAAAAAAAGCACCGTTTATAAAAAAACAAGCCACTCATCAAAATACAAACACATATTATTATTAGAACTTTTTTACCCGTTACAACGCACGGGTATTTTTGCTAGTAAAGTATAAAGTCAATCTATACTATAAAAGGTTGAATTTTTTGGTTTTGCCCTTCTATTTTGGGAGGACGGGGACCAATCGAACCGAAATTTTGGAATATTTTGGACCGAAATAATTTAACATTTTATCATATTTTGATCAAATTTTAATAAATTGTGCTAACATAAAAAAAGTGGAGTGGGTTGAAACTTTGGAAATTTCATTCCAGAATTTTGGACTATGGTTACTAGTAGTATAAATATTAAAAAGATACTAATGGTAATGGTTTTAAAAAGTTTAATTAATTACAAATACCCCATAGGCCCAGACAACCTGCTTTTCGTGATCGGACAAATGAGCATCATATCCGATCCACACCCTAGCTTTGCTTCTGTTTCACGTATGTATTTATGGTGGTCATACCCATATATACGATCATACGTACATAGAGGTGAGAAAGTGACACTGGGGAGATCAACTATCACTTTTAAGATCGGTACAAGGTACTGGTACTGTGTGCTGTTTGCAAAAATCTTTAGGCTGTCTGCAGATGGAATTTCACATCACTCCTATACATGATTACATGAATGTGTACTCCTTTTATTTGCAGGTGAATAGGCAGCTTTGTTTGGTCCATCGGTTTTCGAAAGTAGTGTGGGTACTATGTGCCGTCGTCGTTACCCGTCACACATACAATGCCGTCCTTTCTTTTTTGCCAATGGCATCAGAACAAAAGGAGGAGGAAGAGGTGGTTGCTTTTGGTTGCCATTGGCATCTATCTAGAGGTTGGTAGGAGCTGAGCTGATGATTCTGGTTCCCACCCCTGGAAAGAGATAGGACGATTACTTGCTAAAGCTGGAGTTATATATCGAGCTTTGGATTGTATCCGAACACGTATCTGGAGAAAAAAATAGTATTATATATAACTTTCATATGTTTACTCTTAGTATGCATAGAACCGGCTTATAATACGAGAGACTTATTCAATACAGCGGAAAATAATTCTAGCATATGAATTTTATATTTTTTTACTATCAGTCTCAGCAGTCTAAACTCGATACTAACAAAAGATTTAACAAGAATGCTTAAAAGGCCGTAAGAATTCGAAGTGTTATGTTTTCTTTTCTAGCGGGCTGATTAAATTAATGAAAAATTAACACATTTGAGGTCTAAAGGCATAGCAAATCGTACATCATCTATCGGTAGCAAATATGGTACACCCCTCAAATAGTTAGGTCCTCTTTGTAATGTAGGATTGGGAAACACATAAATACAAAACAGATATCCCCTAAAAAAAGAAATGAAAAATATAGAATTTGTTGTATGTTTCTCTAATCTTACAAGAATGAAAAATATGAAACAAAGCAGTTATGTTCATATGAAATTGAGCCATATGAATGCAATCATATCGAAAATTTTCTATCAATTTCTATGAATACTAGAATCCCAATGAAAATCCTCCTCATGTTTGCAATGTAATTTTTGGGAAAAGTAAGATGTAACTGTGTTGTTTGTTTTTTTTTTAAAAAAAAAGATGTAACTGTGATGCAACAGCTTAACTGCGTACTTTCATTTGCTTCCTCCCAACGTACGAATAAATCATGTTCTACAAAGGTGAGCACACTCAAAAAAACAGAGTTCTTTCATGATTCACATGTTCTTTATTAAAAGACAATCAATAGCTAGCATACCGCTCAAACTAGCAATTAACAATATTTTTATATATAATTTTGGTCAATTTGAATTGTAAACTGTGAAATATACATCACTAAAATCATTAAGGACATTTGTTAAGAACTGAAGTTCCTAACAACCAGTACGTATGATGAGAGATATTTCTCAGATATCTATATATAGTCCAAAACATAAAATATACAGTAAAATATACACCATAATTTAATAAAATTGAGATATACTTTATACCCAGTTAATTATATATGCCTATATAATTAGTGTAGTTAATACTCCCTCCGTCCCAAAATAAGTGCAGTTTTAGCACTGTTCACGTCCAACGTACGACCGTTCGTCTTATTTGAAAAAAAATTATGATTTATATTTTTATTGTTACTAGATAATAAAATATGAATATTATTTTACGTGTGACTAATTTTTTTAATATTTTTCATAAATTTTTCAAATAAGACGGATAGTCAACACGCTAAACACGGATATCTATGGCTGCACTTATTTTGGGACGGAGGTAGTATTTTTTTCTCTTCTCTCATTAAACCACAACACTTCAATATTTATAACCCTAAATAATTAAACTATGGTGAAAATTGCCTCTTTTTTCTTCTCCCGTATAACCACACCACCATAGTTGTCTTTGGATGATCCATATATATTAGTTCCTTCATTTTCTTCTATCGTGAAGTGGCATCACTTTAATTTTGCAATCTATATATGATTTAAATTGTCATAAACTAATACCTTCTAAATGGTTTATCATTTTTTAACATGATCGATCAAATATGCATATTATATCGTCGAGTAACAAAACAAATCTGTCGTACACCTTATTTCTATATATCACTATCATACAAACTTTTCCCCACGGCAACGCACATGATTTTATCTAGTTACTATGTGAGAGCATAATATATATTTTTCCACTATATATCTATCTATC